GAGGAGGGAGAACTGGGGGGGGGGGGGCGCTCAATGGCAGCAATGGGTGCGTCAAAGCGAGCGAGTCGGTTTGCGGCGCGAGCGTCCTGAGCGCGATTTTGGAGTGCGCGCTGATGGATGTCACGGGGAGCCAGGTTGGTACGCAGAAAGAGGAGTAAGGGACTGCAAGGGGAAGGCGAGTATAAATGAGGTATGACGAACTTCCAAAATTAAATCAAGGGAATTAAAAGTCGGATTGAGGGTAAAAGAGGAAAATTTCCGATTCGGGGGAGACAATGAGAGAAAATTTACTAAGAATAGTCTGGGGTCTAGACGGGAGCATGCATAAGAGAATCACGAATTCAAAATAAAATTCCGAAAATGTTTGGACGTAATTTCAAAATTTAGAAGAAATTGAAGTAAAATTCAAGGAATTTCAAAAACATTCGGAAAAAAATTTGGAAAGTTCGGGAAGATGATGAAAGATGTAGAGATGAGTTGAAAGAAAAATTTTGAAATAAAATGGAAAATTCCTCAACGTATTTTCGGAATTAAAAGAATTTCAAAGGCAATTTGAAATAAAAGTAGAAAACTAATTCCTAAATTAAGAATTTTCGGTGAAATTTCATGAAGAATTAATGATAGCCAAGTACAGTAAGTTGGGAGAATTTCCAGAATTATCTAGGTCAGGTCAAGAAAATTTCTCCGCGTGTTACAAGATTGGGGTGAATTTAAAAGAAATTTCAAAAGACTTTCCAAGGAATTTGAAAAGAATTGCAGAATTTCGTAATGTTACGGGGGAGAAAACAACGAAATTGATTGGACTTCAGAAGAATTAAATTTAGTAAATTCCAGAATTTATTTCACGAATTTATGAAATGGAATTGAATTTTGAAATTAAATGACAAAAAGAATCTGATAAAATAAAGAAATTCGCATAACTTTTGAATAAAAAGTGTCGGAATTAATTCTGTTTGCGGCGTTGGTGGAAAGGAAGATGAAGATTAATCCTGTCAAATTAGGTTGAAGTTCTGAACGGCAGAATGAACGGCATTGTTGGGCAAGCACGAAGAAGGAAGTTTGTATCACACGTAGTAGAATTTTTTGGATGATGCGACTAATTAGGTGGGAGGGTGGGGAAAAGAAGGGGGGTTGGAGAGGAGATAAGAGATGGGGGAAAAGATGAGATCTTTGAGAGAGACCGACGAGAGCAAGGGAGGGGATTAGTAGGAGGGAGATAGATTGACAATACCGCGCTCCCGGTCGGCCGGGAGCAGTTAAGGTCCTTCCTCCTAGTCGAGGAAGGTCTTCAATTACCCCTAAAGGGTCTTCTGGATCGTTCCCCCGGTGGAACGACGAGGTTCCCCCGGTGGAACCGTGATGATGAGTGTCGCAAGTGATGATGATGATGATGGCCGTCACAAACAAGTTACCCGTGTGGTAACTTTTCTGACACCTGTAGTTTGAAGTCCTGAAACGCTGCAGGATCGATGGCTCTCACAGTTTGTATTCGTCCTGGAAATCAAAGTCAAATGAGCTTTTGCCCTTTTGCTCCACACGATAGGACACCTGCGTTATCTTCTATCAGATGTGCCGCTCCACTCGATGGT